TGTACCCCCAGCCCCATAGTGCAAATCATGAAAAAAGACTTTATGAAATAAAAGTATAAATACATGGTATTAAGTGGATTAAAAAATTTCTTCATAGACTTCTGGGTTAGAACACTTCAAAATGAGATTTATCAATAAAAATCTTTTTTTATTTTATTTTAAATCCATGAACGAAAACAGTCTTAATAAACAACTTCTTAGAGCATCTCCAATAGTTATTGCTATAATGCCATTGCTATTGCTATAATTTCGCGATGAATAGTACTATTTTGCCAAATTATAGCTTTAACGCGTCCACATTCGATTTCATGAGGAAATAGTTGTCGGAGGGAGACAAACAAGAGTAATGCTTGTCGGAGAAGATGATCGTCCCTGGAAATTCAGTGTCCATTGCCACGTTTGGATAATCATCAAGAACTCGACGAATCAAACCGAACTCAAAACTCAAGTTATCAGCCCAAACATCACGAACAATCACACAACGAGACATTATGAATTTCTGGATTTACAAATTTTTTTATGTATAGAGAGTAGTGTGCGGATGTGTGTATATATAGTAGAGTAGTGGTTTAATAGAAACCTTTTCCTAATAGAATTGGATTTGAAGAAAAATGGAGTTTGATTTAGGAAATACGGATTCCAAAAAAAAAAATAGAGTTTGATTTAGGAAACTATGGATTTCAAAAAAAATAGAGCTTGATTTAGGAAACTACCTTATTATACTTGTTTGATTTTCTATACACGTTAATAACTTAATACTTAACACGTTTCAAGAAAACACGTTAATATTCACTTTTTTTAATACATAACACGTTTCAAGAAAACACGGTAATACTCGCTTCTTCTTTTCTTTCTTTTTTTTATTCTGTTTTATTTGTCTGTTGAAGTATGGTCTCTTAATTTGATAACTGAGTGTCTAAGTTAGTTTATACGCATCTCAATTAATTTTGAAAGATCAATTCCACGGCCTACTTGCGAGGGTATATTTAAAGTCAAAGCAAATACTTCAGTGATTCATCTTGAAATTACGTCAGCATTAACTCAATTTATGAAGAAAAAAGAAAAAATAAGAGGAAAAAAAAAAACAGAAACCATTTTGTCTTTTTCCGTTACCTTTTTTCTTTTGCCTCCACAAATACTCAAATCCAACATCCAACCATAGTCTTAAGAAAAAGAGAATAGAAAATGGTTACCTGAACCGAACCACATGAACCAAATTTTGGAATTCATACAATTACCAAAATGTTTTGGCCTTTTATTATTCAATCAAAACAACATTCCAAAATTAGTTATTATTTTTGTTTATGAACAATAAACAAGTAAATCAAAGAAACATAAACACATACACATCAAAGAATTGAAAAGCTAAATTTGAAGAAATTAAGAAATCCTCATTAGTCTCCATTTTCCCTATTCTGAGCTCTCATTCTACTACCCCATGATCCCTCCTGTTGTTGTGTTGCACGGTAACCAGACCTTCTTCTCAACTCAACAATTTGGCCTTTCCATCTCTTCCTTTCAAGTTGATCACCGCCAACATCGATCTTATAGGTTCCTGCAAAATCTCCCATACTAAGTTCATGATCGTGCTCTTCGCGCGACACAGCATCCAATAGGGTCTTGTAAGCCTCATGCAATTCAACAAATATCCTCGCGGACTCTTCCTTCTCTGAAGGATGGCAGACGTCAGGATGATATTTGAGAGCCATGGTTCGATAAGCTCTTTTTATCTCATCAATTCCGGCATTGTTAGAGCTTAGAGAGAGTACTTTGTAGAAATTAGTCGTCTCATTTTCACTAGCCTTGCACGAAATGGCGATGAACTTTGGAGGCCTGTTGGAGTGACTAGTTAGTGCACTATAAGGACCCGGCTTAGCAACATTTAGACTTGAACTTAGAGAAACCACCATGACTATATATCTCAACTTGAATTGCATATAGATGTCCTAACTATTGTGAGAAATTTGTACATATATATATTTGGCATACACTGGATTTTCGTTATTTTCATAAAAATTAAATATAATTAATACGATTATTATTTTTTATAAGCGTATCACAAACATAAAGTCTTATATGACAGACCGAAACTTACTAATTGGTCATACTGACGAAAAGAACAAAGATTAATTCAAAGCTAAAACGCGTTTTTGCTATGTAATTATCGATGATTGTGACATATTTTGATAAACCATGATGTCAACATTAAGTCTCTTTCTATGTTAGCATTTTTGGATGCATTCTCATGCCGGTATCTGATTAGTTAATGTAAATGGCCTTAACAATTGTTATTTTAATTTATTGCATGGTCCGAAAAACCTAGTAGAATTAAGTATTAAAAAAGTTACTTTCAATATGATCTTTGCTCTAAAATCGAGAAAGAAAAAAATTGTTTGTAACATTTGGATAGAGAATGAGACACGGCTTTTTCTTCAAAATTTTACGAATTTTGTTAAAAAAGTATTCTTAGAACATTTGTTAAGGATTAATTTTTTTTTTAACTATGTCCATTATCATAGAAAAAAGGATTATTTATAAATATATTTTGCTAGAGACTAAAATGTCATTTTCTTAAATTCTTTCTATTTTAACATTATATACTTTTCATAATGAAGTTTTTTTTTTTTTAATCACCAAAATAAATACCTTTATTTTAAATGACTTTTGTGGTTTTTTTTTTAAGTTTTAATCATAATTAAATTATATAGTGTAAGAAAAATGAATCTAAAAAGTTTTTTAAAAAATAAAGGGCATATAATTTATATGGTGTAAGAAAAATGAATTTAAAAATTAAAAAAATAAAGGACATAATTTTTTATATTTGTCATAGAAATAAAGAGCATTTAAAATTATAAAAAAATCAGGGAAGTCATTTAAAAATATAGGTATTTATTTTTATGATAAAAAAATTTTAAAAAAAAAACTCCATTATGAAAAATATATAATGTTAAAATAGGGGGAGTTTAAGAAAAGTGCATTTTAGTTTCTAGGAAAATATATTTATAGTTAGTTCTCTTTTCTATGATAGTGGAGATAATTAAAAGGATTTAATACATCTTTACCAAGTGCTCTTAGGTACTTGTTAACAAAACCCAAGTTTTACGTATAAGCTTGTTATTATACTTAACAAAATTATAGAATTATAGAATTTTTAAACAAAATTATAGAATTACGCGTAGGCTTAGCTTTATTTTATAGAATTTTTAAAAATTATAAACAAAATTCGTTTGGTTTCTATTTTTATTTTCAAAAAGTTATAATGAAAAAAGTTAATATTGTTTAATTATTATTTTTTCATTTCTTTTTTTTGTCAACTATCACCCATTGTTCATTATTACTATTGGCTACCATTATCGATTATCTTGACTTCCAACCACTTTTTACTAACAGTAATCACTTTCGATCACCACCTCTTGTTAAAACCACTTTCAACTACCATATTACATGGTCAACCGACCATCAACAAACAATTTCAACCACCACTTCTCATAGCCATCAAGTTCCGGCGACTATCTCTAACTACCTTTTGTAGCCAACCTTTTACCTTTATTTTCAAAATAAATTTTTAAAATACTTGTGTATCATGCTTAATATTTTTTATAATTCAAAGAATAATAAGCTATAAATGTTATCAAACAACACCTTAGTGCTCTTAATTTTTTTTATTTGCTAGTAACCATATAAAGCTTGATATATAATTACTAAAATATATATTAAAATTTACTTAAATAGATTTAGATATGAAAAAATATTACAACTACTGAAGAAAAAAAAATTGGTCTTTCTGTTCTATAGTTTAACAAAGTTAAATTTATGACAAGAAAAAAGCACCAAGAAAATTTAAAATTATAATATCAAAGTTAAATCAACTGTAATAAATTATCACTTAAACATCACTCTTTTTTTTCTGGGGACTATCTCTAACTACCTTTTGTAGCCAACCTTTTACCTTTATTTTCAAAATAAATTTTTAAAATACTTGTGTATCGTGCTTAATATTTTTTATAATTCAAAAAATAATAAGCTATAAATGTTATCAAACAACACCTTAGTGTTCTTAATTTTTTTTATTTGCTAGTAACCATATAAAGCTTGATATATAATTACTAAAATATATATTAAAATTTACTTAAATAGATTTAGATATGAAAAAATATTACAACTACTGAAGAAAAAAAAATTGGTCTTTCTGTTCTATAGTTTAACAAAGTTAAATTTATGACAAGAAAAAAGCACCAAGAAAATTTAAAATTATAATATCAAAGTTAAATCAACTGTAATAAATTATCACTTAAACATCACTCTTTTTTCTTTTTTTTTGATTCAATGGAAAAACATAGCAGCTTTGAACATTTGTAAAACAACTCTCATAATCCAATACCGCTAATATTTCCCAATATAACAAAAACAAAAATTATGATAAATTTAAGTGGCAGATTGATTTGATGTGCCCTAGCTGGACTGCTAAGAGAATAGTGAGTGAAGTTCCTCTCTGAAAAAATAAAAAATTAAAATAAAAACTTATATGGGCTGGTGTTGAGTAGCTCAATCACACTTTGGGCTTTTATCCTACATCCATTTTGACAAGTTTTATTTTCAAAATTTTAAAAGCCTCTTGAGACAATGGCCTCTTTTAGTAAGAGGTCAAAAGTAGTTTTTTTTTATTTTTTTATACATTTTAAAAAAAAAATCAAAATGTTAACTTTTAATCTATTTCCCAAAACAATTCAATATATCTTGTTTTCATGAATTCCCAACTCCAAATGGTAATAATTGTGAGTAAACCATGTTCATTCTTAAAAGACTTTACTTTATAACCTAATTTTTAAATATAAAAATTTCAATATATAGACAGAAACCAATCATTTTAATTGTACAAAAATTAATTATAAAATCAAACAAAATCATTTTATTTATGTGTGGAACTTCCAAAAAGATAAGATTCACCTTCCAAGAATATTATGTCGGGTACTATTAATTTTGTGTTCTTAATAATTTTTTTTTTGAGCAAATTACATATATACCCCTCGAGGTTTGGCTAAATTACAAATACCCCCTGAGGTTTGAGAAATTACAAATTTCTCCCTGAATGCTATATTTACATAAGAAATTAGGGGGTAATTTGTTATGAAATATAAACCTCAGGGGGTAAATTGTTATGAAAATACAAACCTCAGAGGGCGGGATGTAATTTCCGAAACCTCAGGGGGTATCTGTAATTTTACCAAATCTCGAGGGGTGTATATGTAATTTGCCCTTTTTTTTTTAAATATACTAACACGTATTGTAAAATTATTCTATTCGCATATAAATCGACTGTGATAAGAAGATGAGATTTGATAGGGAGAGAATCGACAGCCGTGGATTGGATTTCCTTAAACGGAACTTTCAAAGAGTGAAGCTAAAAAGGTAGATCTCATGGGGATAGGACTCAATCTCGAACCATTGCCATTAAAATGAGAATCAATGCCTTAAAATAGGGTTGTGTTTTGGGGTCAAATTTTAAAAGAGAATCAATTGATGCTTCAAATTAACGAGGTACCAAACGCTGTCATCCATAAAACCACAACCATACACTTGTTTCTCATTTTTGTTCATGTGTTTTTCTCAACAAATACTAGGATTGATAATTTTTTCCCATTTCCACCTCGATCCTTGAAGATTTTTCTCATTATGAGAAGAATAATACTTGGGACCCCCTTTTGGGATCACCCCCTCACCCCCCTTTGTCACGTGGCGGGGAGTGATTGGAGGAGCAGGAAAAAAAAGAAAAAAAAAAAGAAAATATAACCAATGAGAGAGAGAGGGGGTCAAAGGAGGTGGGAGGAAAAGGGGGATGAATCATTGTTGTTATGAGAAATAAGTGAGGCGGGGATACGTTGTACCCCCAGCCCCTTTTGGTCTAACCTCTGCACGAATTTTATTTATAAAATATATTTATATATAATTTAATTTTTTTTTTCTCAATATGATAAAATTAAAACATTAAAATATTACACTTAATATTTTCCGTTGCTAAGCTATCGCTTGACTCTGATAAATTATGATATAATTCAAAATTAAAAAATATTATACAAATTAAAGTTGCATTTGAATTTATGAATTGGAGTAAAAGAATATAACATCAACCATTTTAGGAATATAATTTTCATTTTAGATTTGAAAAATAAATTTGAGAGTTATAGGTTGATGAATTTAAAATAACATGATAAATTTAATCGTTGAAAATATTTCTATAAATTAATACAAGAATCTTAGAACATACATCTATTTCCTACATCAAACAAACAGTCCTTCAATTCTGGGAAATTTAACTTCAAATTTCTTCATTCAAACAAAAAAATAGTAAGCAACGGAATATTATAACTAATATTATAGCACTACAGGAATCCAAATGTCAGACCTGGCTTAAAAGAAGCAAGAGAAGAGACTTTTACAGAATGATTAATATCTACTCTCTTCCACATCCCAAAATAAATAAATAAATAAAACTCTAAATACTATTTAGAATGCTCAATCAAATCTCAAGTCTACAAACATCACAAAAACAGCCTCTCTCCTATCCCATTCTCTCATCTCAAACCAAAGTGAATGAAGCAGCCACCAGTACCATAACAACTGATCCGATAGATGCAGTGAGCGCAACCGAATCTGAGCTTGCAGGAGCTGCTGCCGGATTAGTCCCAACCGAAGAAGTAGCCACGCCTCCTCCGGTTGTGCTTGGGGAGACGGCACCCTCTGGCAAAATAAAATAGAAATAACCACATGGGTTTTTTTTCATAAATAAAAAAAGAATATTATATAGATGATTCGATCCATATGCATTAATAATCAGTTCGATACAGAAGACAAGATAAAAACCAGATTGTAATCTCTCTATTAGAAACAAACTTCACTTCCTACTAATTCTTAAAATTTCACCAAAAAATTTTTAATTTGTGAATAGTTTTGTTAGCTTTAATCTTGACATACTTCGATATATGATCTCCTCATTTGGAAAAAGCTTTAGTTTCTTGTTCCTTTTTTGTTAAAAAAAATAAAAATAAAAGGCATTGAATCTAGAAATTTCAAATTTTTTGAACATGAAAAAAAACTTATATTTTTGACATCAGACTTTATTCTCTCCTCCCCACCCTCAACCACCATCCACTACGGACACTACCACCTTCAAAAGTCGGTCAACAATCAGACAAATCTCCACCCATAATCTTTAACCCTCATAATTGTCTGGTTGGCCATCTCATGGCCTCCGATGACACTTGGCCATCAACTCCAATCAGTCAATATCACCAACACCAACTCAATAAATATGTTTTATTATTTTTGTTTTTATTTATTTTCAAAACATCTTTGTTCACCAAAATAAGTTTTTTTTTCCTCCTATTTTTTATAAGCAAACAAAAACAATGGAAAAAACAAAAAAACAAAAAAGTTATCACAAACATTAAGTGTGAACAATATCACTTCCTAGTATACAAAATGTACACCTCATTAAGGCCAAGTTTGGCAACCCAAAAATAATTCATCTTTTAATTTTTTTATCTTTTTTTCATCACATCACTTCTCTATTTTTCTACACATTTTTTCAAAAAAAAATAAAAAATACACTTATTTAGGTCATTCCAAACAAGTCTTTTAAGTGTGAAGACTTATCACTTTCTCTTTTTCAAAAAAAGTCATCCACTTCCGTTAAACAATTTTTTTTTTTATTAATTAAAACTCCCAAAAATACGGAACAGTTTTTCTCATTCAAAAAATTGCTAAATGATTTCCATCATTTATCCAACTGTCAAAAAAATAAAAATATATAATTACAAAGGCATTGCATTTACACCCACTACTATTCAAGTATGTTTCTATATATGCAATATCCAGTTGCTACCACCTAACTTAAATCATATTTTTTAAATAGTAATTCCACTAATCAACAAAATCAAACACAACTATCATATACATTAAAATGGATTGTGAAATCCACTTGACTTTAATGAATCCACATTGACATCATCAAAATTTGAAAAATATTATACAGATGAGTAATGTTAGAGGTCTCAAAAATTATATCAAAATTTTTATCAAATGTCTCACATAGATGTGGGACCCACACTATGTGGGTTCTATGTGTGTCCACACCTATGTGAGACATTTGGTAAAAATTTTAATAAAATTTTTGAAATCTCTAATATTTTTGTATACAGATTATCTTATTATCTTATCATGTATTTTATTAATACAATCTCAGTAATAATGACATATCACTAATTGGTATACTAATGTATATATTAATTCGTGCAGGTTAGCACCACTGAAATATTTAATTAAAAAACACGAGGTGTAATATAACTCTAAAAATTATGCATATAAAAAATAAATTAAGGTAGAATAATAATCAGTAAATGATCAGATCAATTCATACCAGGAGCAGCACCAGGAGCAAGACTCACTGCAAAAACAAACAAAAAAATAAATAATGAGAAAATTTTCAAAAGAAAAATGAATAATGGGCTCCAGGATTCCCAAGAGAAAAAACAGAGCAAAAGGTTATGAAATACAAACACCACTATGAGAAAATAATTCAATGTGAATAACATTTGTGTTTAAATTACACTAAGATTCTATCTATATAGTAAATGATAAATTAAAAAAGCGTACTTATTTAATTCATCTCAAATAATTATCTAATTTTCACATAATAATACACAAATTTGAGACAAAAAGTGAGACTTACGTATAAGCCAACATAAGTGGATTTGAGTATGTTTGAGATGAAAGTGGTGAAAGTGAAGGAAAAAAATTAAATTTTAAATTGAAAGTGATGGAAATTTTTTTTAAAAATAATTTTCTTGAACAATACATAATAGTTTTGTAATTAAAATTTATTTTAATTTCTTACTTTAAAAAAATACAAGATATTTTAACTGTTCATGCAACGGTTACCTGAGATTAAAATTTCAAATTTCACTTTTATATTTTTTTACAAAATTTTACCCAATCAAAATACTTACGAAAATATATTTTCCTTCCTATTTTTTTCTATTTCACTCCACTTTCTTTTATTTTTCGAAAATATTATTTCACAATTTTCACTCCACATGACAATATGCTCATTTAGGGTTGGTTTGACATGTTTAAAAAAAGTCAAAATGTCAAAAAGTTATTATCCTATTTAACTCACATTATTTTATTTAAGTCACATCACCTCTTTAACACATCACTTCAAACCCAATACAAACTCAATCCATATTTTATAAAAAGTCAAAAAGTACACTTATTTAGATTATCTCAAACAACTCTTTAGCCCGGACATCATGCCGCATCTTTAAAAAAAAAATTTATTTTTAGTATTATGTAAATCACAGTCTCTCTTTATTAGTTGGACACATCACCAACTTAAAATTTTCGAAACACAGAATAATTCCTAAATAAGATATTTATACACTTTACATATTAAACAAATCAAAATACACAAGTTGATATACAAAGATTAAGATGAAATTAGCTGAAAGATTCTTGAGTAATTAACCCTAAAAAAATTCAAGATTTTTTTTGTTTTTGTTTTTGGGTCAGGAAAAGCATGAAGAGAGGGAAGAAAAATCTGAGAAGACATTGGTGAAAAAGGAGATGGGACTCACGACCACAGTTAGAGAGAGAAGGAGCAGAGACATGGCAAGCAGAGGGAAGAGCCAATGCCTTTGTGATATTCAAAGTGACTCCCAATTGGCCACTGTTCTTGAACCCCTCGCATAGACACTCTGGGTCCGTTTTCAGCACCGTCTTCAACCCCGTACAGCACGTCCCCTCCGGCGTCTTCACTGTGCTTCCTCCGATTACGTACGTCAGACAGTCGGCTAGGTTTAGAATCAGAGTCGAGCAGTCTGCCGAAGGCGATGGTGCCGGAGCAGACTCCACATTTTTGGAGGCCCAGATAACGAGAAAGAAGAAGAGGACAGTCGGAATCGGAGTTTCCATTTTTTTGGAGGAAAATTTGCAGAGAAAATTGAGGAATAGCGAGGAGTTATGTCAACTTTGTGGAAGTGAATGTCAAGGTGTGTTTAGTGGGGGGTTATGCTGTGTTGTGTTGTGTGGTATATAGAGTGAGGAGAGAGACTGGGGGGGTACGAATTAATTAATATATTAATTAGTATATTAATAAATGATGTGACATAATTTTATTAATATTAAATTTTGGTAGTATTACTTGCACTAATTAGTGTACACATTAGTATATCAACTAGTTTTATGATTTTATTATTGACCACATTTATTAGTATACAAGTTACTAATATTCAAAATCATACAAATAATGTCATATCATCTGTTAGTAAACTAATGTATACATTAATTGGTATATATAACATTATTCATTAAATTTTTATAATTTATATAATGAGTTATAATTTTAAAATCGATGGTGCTACATGCACCAATTAGTGTATTACCTAGTGTATCAACACTAGCTATGACATTATTATTGACTCTACTCATTATGCAAATTATAAATATTAAAAACTTCTTAAATTACGTTACATCATCAATTGATATATTAATTAGTACACTAGTTGATACATATAACATTATTCTTTTAAAATTGTAATATTATAAGAATAATGCTATATGTATCAATTAATATACACACTAATATACTAACAGATGATGTGACAACATTTGTATGGTTTTGAGTATTTGTAATATAATAAATGTGGTTAATAATAATATTATAGCACTAGTTGGTACACTAGTATATACATTAATTAGTACATATAATATCACTGATATTTTAATACACTAATTAATATACTAATTGATGCGTATAGCATCATTGAAAATTATTAGTTAGTCCATCACAAATATCTCTCATCAATTATAATTTATTATATCTGAGAGGGTAATTTTTGGGAAAAATTGGGCCGAGCTGAGAGTTGGGCATTAAGGCCCAAAACGCGTAGGACTGCGTAAAAAGGCCGTACTGAATACTCCGACCTAGAGGGCAAGGTTATTCCGGCCTTGGGGAGACAGAGTTACTTCGGCCCAAGGAGGTGAGTTTATTCCGGCTCAAGAAGAGATAGTAGCTTCGGCCCAAGGAAGAGTAAGGCTATTCCGATCCAGAGACAACTCGGAGTAGGTCCGGTCTTAGAGTTAGTCCGGTCGCAGTATGTTCTGGGAGGACCGGTTTCAGAGTTAGTCCGGTCATGACACAATCTGGTTAGGTCGGTCAAAACTTGTTACTTGGAAGTCTGATCTAAGCACACCAAGGCTGAACAGGGACAGCCGAAGTAATGAGTTAAAGGAGAAGACCGAGCTAAGGATAGTTCGGCCTTCTCTGTGGCTCAGCATAGCCCGTGTTATTTCGGCCATGTGGTAGTTCGGCCATGAAGAAAACCATCCCACTTGGTTTAAGCAGTGGGGAGGGTGTAAAAGGATAAGCATTATCCTTAGGAGAATGAATCCTAGGAGGACTCTGCATGGAGAAGTACAAGTCCTACTAGGATTGTGCCACGGGAAACTTATAAAAGCCTACAAACATCACCTTGGAGGAGGTAATTGAACATAATCTTTCTGAGAACTTAGAACTTTGTCTATTTGTCAAGTTTACTGACTTAGGCATCGGAGAGGTTTCCGGCACACACCCGCCGGCTAGCTCACGTTTGTGTTTTCAGGTGACAAAGCGACGTCGTACGGAGAAGCGTGGACTTGGTCAACAGGATTATACGAGGAGAATTATTTCCTCCCCGTACAATATCTTTTTATATTTTTTAATTATTGAATATAAATTTGTGAGATACTATCCTTCACAATATCATTAGATTACCACGTCGCAATATCTTAAACGAATCGATAACTTCCCGTGGGTGAAGAGAAAAGGATGCTTTAGGATGTGAAAAGGGAGAATCGGAGGTTGCGGGGAGAAGAATGGGTTGCGCCATGCGCACATGGTGCACAATAATGATCGGTTTTTGAGTGGAGTAGAGATGTAAGTGTACACGTGGTGGGTAATCTGAGAGTTCTTGTTCGGTCCTTTCTCACATAAGGGACGACATGAAGTTATTTGCTGCTGTTTTTGAAATATTTTCATTTTAATTTTTTTAATAAAAATTTAAACACAAAAAAAAAAAGAACAATAATGTGATTTTAAAAATAAAATACTCATTTTTTGGAAAATTTTTAATTAATAATATTAATATTTGATTAATATAATTTTTTAAATATTTTTCTCCATGAATTATATATGATAAATAATTTAAATTATTTATGTAAATTCCAAATGAATCCACATGACATAAACTAAACTATGCTAGAGACAACCCCAAAAAAAATCTCAACCCAAGTATATTTTGAACTTGGGCTTGGGCAAGCCAATTCAGACTAGGGGTCGGTTTTGGGTTTAGGCTTGGATAAATAGATCATAAACAAAAGTTGTATCTTTAGTAATATTTTACTATTTCATTTCATTTCATATAATTTGTGTATTTATACAATAAATTGTACATGTAAAATTCACTATATAATATCTACCATTAGAGACGAAAGAATTCTTATTCATTTTTTAGATTTTTAATTACATATCTTGTTAATTGGCTCAGTTGAAAATAATAATAATTATTAATTATTAATTAGGTTAGATTCAAAAAAATAAAAATAAAAATAAAAATAAATAAAATAACACTCAGGACAATCAAATTTAAATTAAAATTCAAACTAGGACAACTTTAAATCCTGAATAATCCCTCACTCCATCCGAATTCCACCCCAATTCCCAGTGGACCAGCTGCAAAACAGATGTGCCAAAGCCAATTCATGATGTATCATGTTTCAAGGAAGGGACCCGTCCTATGAGGTGTTTTTCTAGTGCAAATACAACTTTCAAAGACAGAAATGAGAGTGTCGATTAATAAGTAGTCTCAAAATATTATATAATATTATTTGTGTTATTTTTTTTTTATATAAATAAGAAATTGTGGAATGCATTAGGTGGGTTAATTTTTATCTTCAAATACATAACAAAGGTAAGTTGATATTGTTTTACTAATAAAAAAATCTTATATTACATAATAAATTAAGATCACTGCACTAATAATATCAATTTTGAAGTCCTGTTTGACTAGCAAGATTAATAATGAGGAAATTAATAATTTATAGAATAATTATTATCCAGCTAAATTAGTAGGTATATAAATCCCTTCTTGTTCGTGTTTATTTTGCATTATTCGGTGTAGGATTAAAAATCCTCTAATTTTGTGGTTTATTTTGAAAAGTAAGTTAAAAGCTGATTTTTTTGACTTTTTAAAAAAATGTATAAAAAAAAAAAAAGTGGGTATAATTCAAAAAAATCAAAAAATAAAAAAAAAATTAACTTTTAACCTAATTGTCAAAATGGGCTTTTGTTGTCAAAAACGTACCTCAGCTCAAAATTGCCAAAAAAAAAAAAAAAAATGTTGCCAAATGAGGCCTTAAGAAGCTTTGGTCAGGCTGATCCTCTGGTACGTCATCTCACCCTGTCCAAACGTACGACCAGTAGAAGTCAAATGCTCTAAACTAAACAAACGGTCCAGATTCATACTCATACATTAGCTGGGATCCAGGAACGCATCAACCTTCTTGACTTTTGCATCTCGGCTGTCTATATTCTTCTTCTCCTGCCTAATGCTTTATGCCAACATTTACGTAAACTAGACGGCTCAGACACACCGATCAATCTCAAATTAAAAAATAATAATAATAATAATATAATACACCAATTCAATCCACGTGATGATTTCGACCACGGCTGAGAAAAAAAATTAAGCCTTCCTTTGGTATGTCAAAAAATTTAATTTTTTATTATTATTTTAATTATAAAAAGATAAAATAAATTAAAAAATTAATAAAATTAAATGTTACTTTCAAAGTACAATCATTTTATTTTTTCTTTAATAAAAGTAAAAAAAATCAAAAAATTTATTCCAAACGAAATTTTTAACCCCAAGTTAAAATAGTCAAAAAAATAAAAAAGTCAAAAAATTAAAAAACTAAAAAATCAGTCTACATCCCAAAAGAACCCTAAAAAGATTACAAAGTGATCTAAACCAAATCATTTTTGTTAATTTGTTTTTTTATTTTTTTTAACTAAAGTTTGGTCGTCTTCTTTAAATTGGTCTGGTTTGTGATTGTATACTTAGTTTTTATTTTATTTTAAAATCAAATCCAACACTTAGATATATACGTATGTAATTTGTTAATTATCATAAACACAACTATCTTATTTGTATTTTATATATATATATATATATATATGTCTGTGTGTGTACGCGTTAGAATAATTTCATCATTTAATCTTGTTGACTAAGTTTGTGTTCCTTTAAATGTCGTCACTTTATCACCTGAAAACACAAACGTGAGCTAGTCGGTGGGTATGTGTCGGAAACCTCTCCGATACCTAAGTTAGCAAAATAGATAATAGACACAAAAGTTCTGTGTATTTGAGAGGAAGAATTGTCATACATGTCTATAGGTTCTGTCATAGGTTTTTATAGATTTTACATAGTACAGTCCTAGCAAGTACAGTCCTAGCAAGAAAAAAAAAAAAAAAAAAAAAAAAAAAAAAAAAAGCACTTTCGAGGCAAATTCGAGGCCTCGAATTCGAGGCCTCTATCAGTGCTCTTGTACTAATTAGTGTACACATTAGTATATCAACTAATTTTATGATTTTATTATTGACCACATTTATTAGTATACAAGTTACAAATATTCAAAATCATACAAATAATGTCATATCATCTGTTAGTAAACTAATGTATACATTAATTGGTATATATAACATTATTCATTAAATTTTTATAATTTATATAATGAGTTATAATTTTAAAATCGATGGTACTACATGCACCAATTAGTGTATTACCTAGTGTATCAACACTAGCTATGACATTATTATTGACTCTACTCATTATGCAAATTATAAATATCAAAAACTTCTTAAATTACGTTACATCATCAATTGATATACTAATTAGTACACTAGTTGATACATATAACATTATTCTTTTAAAATTGTAATATTATAAGAATAATGCTATATGTATCAATTAATGTACACACTAATATACTAACA